GGGGGGGGGGGGGGGGGGGGGGGGGGGGGGGGGGGGAGGAGGAGAAGAAAGGCATCTCAGCCTCTAACTCCCTCCCAATTGCTCTTCGAGCAATGCAAAGTGACCACCAATATATTAGAGAGGGGATACTGTAAACACTAACTGATAATGAATGATGTAATAGTGCTGGTGACTCTTTAAGAGAAGAAAAAAAAACTATTAAGTTACAGTGAAGACATTGCAACTACATAAAAACTTTGAAATTTTGTTGTGTGAGGATTTAAATCGGTGAGGATTAAAAGCCTACTTATTACCCTTCCAAAGCCCACTAATTACTAAGCCTCCCAGCTGAAAAGAAAATAGAATAATCACTTAGGCCCTGGCCCACAGAGAAGCATTCTCTGTAAACTCGGCCCTGACCACGATGTTCACCCAAGGGTCCAACTTCCATCGGCTGGATGACAGGGAAACCTGGAGAATAAACTCAGCTCTGTAAAAGTGACATCCACCCAAGTCCTATTCTGATCCCTCACTGCGGCATGAAGGTGACCTTGGGTTCACGACTAAAACTACAGCAAGCTATAAAGGCTTCATGTATGGGCCCAGGGGTGGACCCAATGCCTGTGGTCTACGCACCAACCTTGCTCAATTCAGAAAGGCTCCTAATCAGATGAGTCTTGAGGTAATGAAGTTTGGGGCCACGACTCTCTAAGATCATCTGCTAAGTTAGAAGAGTTGTGATCTGTATCAATGAAGTTACAAATCCAAGTGAAATACTAAATTAGAACTAAAGGTACAGTGTAATTCATTTCCTGTTAATAGGTTACGGCACACTTTGTGCTTTGTGTCCAGGGTGTCCCAAAAGTCTGAGTGCATTTAAAAAAGCTTAAACCTGCCCTAAGACTTTTGGGACACCTGGTCTAATTAAACCAGTAACTCAAACAAAGGTTAAAAACCTTTCTATTCGGTTTGACTTTCTTCCTTTAGATTTGGAAGCTGGTTTCTCAATGGCAATCAACCAACAAGCATTTATGGCAATAAATGGTTTTTAGCACCTACTTTGAGTCTTAAGCTTCAAGAGTGGTGATGCTCAGAACTGGGAAGCTGGCTTCAAATTTATCACCACGAGCCTTTAAGAGATCAGTCTAGTTTCATCTCGGCCTCTGATAGTAGTCTACCTGACCTCTATTCCTTGTCTCTAAAGTTCTAAGAATATCTACTAATTTCCTACTTAACACAATTTTGCACCTAAATAAATTTATCATAATCATGTCGGTCTTAACTCTTGATTAGATTATAGGCTCCTTAAGGGTAGGAATTTTATATTATATTATAATTTTTCAGTATCCCTTTCTCCCTCAACTACTTAGCGCAGTTCCGAGACCTTGAACTGAGACAAACTGGGTTCAGATCCAGGCTTGAGAACTTACTATGTGATCTTAGGCAAATCACTCCAATGCTAGGAGCCTCACTTTCACAGTATGTTCAATGGAGTGAACACTTAAGCCACTGTTGTGGTAAAGTACTTCGAAAACTTTACAGAATTACAGAAATATGATTAACTATAGAGATTTTTACCAAGGTCTCAAAGAGGTATCACAGAAATAAAAAAGAATCAAGTAGATCAACTCCTTCATTTTAGATGAAACAACTGAGGCTCTGAGATCATATGATTTGTCCAAGGTCACAGAGCAAGTTAATAGTAGACTCGAGACTAGAATTCAAGAAGTCTCCTGATTCCCAGAGTCTAATAATCTTATCCTTTGCTTCCCTGGGTTTTAAGAAGATTCTAAACTCTTTCAAAGAGCTATACAATACAGAATAATCTTAGACAGGAAAGTAAGATGAAAGCATCTAGATCAGGAGCGGGGAACTTGCAGCCTTGAGGCCACATGTGGCTTTCTAGATCCTTAAGTGCGGCCTTTTGACTGAATCCAATTTTTTTTTTTTTTTGGCAAGGCAGTTGGGGTTAAGTGACTTGCCCAGAGTCACACAGTTAGTAAGTGTTATGTGTCTGAGGCCGGATTTGAACTCAGGTCCTCCTGACTCCAGGACCAGTGCTCTATCCACTGTGCCACCTAGCTGCCTCTGAATCCAAATTTTAATAAATAATAATAATCCTTTTAATAAAAGGATTTGTTCTTTAAGATGTGGATCCACCTAGATCATCTTTGAGGGCCCTTCTAATTACAGGATTCCATGAGTCATTTCACAGAGTTTCCCATGATATCTGAGAATATATGAAAAAATTGGCTGAGTAACAGTACTGTTAACATGGATTTGCAACTGGCTGAACAACTATTGATTAATGAGGGGTGGAGAAGGGGAGAGGAGGTAGTGTCTAGCAGTATGTCCCAAGCTCTCTTTCTTAGGCCCTGTGCTGTTCGACTTGTTTAACCAATGATTTGGATGATGACATGAAAGGCACAATGACTAAATCTGCAGATGACACAAAGGTGGGGAGAAATAGCTAACATCATGTAAAAAATAAAATCAGGATTCACAGATGTCTTGACAGACTGGAACAATCCTATAAGGTGCTATATAAATGAAAAGGCAGAATTATAATAATAGAGTAATTAAGTTTTACTTTACAAGACTTATCTTTTGTACCTGGAACCATCACGTCTGATGTTGAGTCAAAGGGATCAATGTAAGGAAAAAGCTTCTCTCCAGGAGAAGTAAATGGAGCAGTCTTTCCAGGGACATAAAACATCAAGGGCACTTGAGTGGCTACATCAAAATTGCTGTACTTGGCCCATTCTCCATGTTCACCCAGAGCCCATCCTGGACAATAAGAAACACAAGTTACACAGACACCCAGAGACAAAAAAAAAACATACACACACAGGTAGAATTACATCACGGTAGGCTCAATTTCAACACTATTTTCTGTTATGTCTCCGCTGAAGTCCCCCTCCAACGTCTCATCACGGTTCTCCAAGGCATTCTGCCTTTCTGGCTTGCCAGGAAGTGCCAGAATTGATATGCCATTGACAGAGGGTCCCCTCCAATGCCATGAAGAAGCACTGGAGAGGGGGGAGACTTCAGTGAAGACAGGTATTGAAGGAATGACCAGAGGAGAGCCCACGTTTCCAAAGAAGTAAAAACAAGAAATTATCAACTAAGGGTTTCTTTTTTTCTACTGGGTCATAGCTTAATGACAAAATGCAACTTCTGCTTCCAGCTGCTTTACTCAACCTAACTACAAAACTTTTTAAAAAATGGCTAGAATACTCTAAGTTGGATATCTTCTAATGGGAAGCTAGGTGGCACAGTGGATGGAGCACCGGCCCTGGAGTCAGGAGGACCTGAGTTCAAATTTGACCTCAGACACATAAGACTCACTAGCTGTGTGACTCTGGGCAAGCCACTTAACCCCAACTGCCTTGCCAAAAAAAAAAAAAGGATACTCTAAGTCGTTCATCAGTTTTGAAAAAAAGAATTGTACTTAGTCACACAACTAAACAAGGAAACTATGCCATTAAAAAAGCCTCACTGAATAAAGTGTATGCTATCTGCAGTTCCCAAACTTGCCTAAGAAATTATGTGTGTATATGTCTGTATATACATAAACACACACGCACATGTGCATTTGTGTATATAACTCTAGATATACACGTGTATGTATATATGCATATATATAGGAAATGGCAACTGATGAATGTGTATGGCTATATTGCGTGTATATGTGTGTATGTATATATATACATTCTTCAACTGTCACTCCCCATGTGTGTATATACACATATACATACATGTGTGCATATATACATGCACAAGTATATATATATATGTAAATTATACATATGCAGATTATATATATTATGTAGGTATGTATGTGCATATGTGTGTGTATGTATACACACATACTATTCATCGACATTCATACTAATTCCTCCTCTCTCAGAGCATAACGCGTGCCAAGGATTCCTGGACCTCACTCAGAAGGCCCTAAACTAGCAAATGAGTGTCTTCACTACTCCTTACTAACTTACCAACTCCACCTGATCTTTGAACAGCCTCAGGGACAATAGCTAATCTTCCTCAGTAGGCACAAATGTAATAGACAAGTAGAATAATTGAACAGACTATTGTTTCACTGAAATCTGAGAGTTCCCTCCACAATGCTTGATCCTGGAATTGCTAAGAAGCCAGCTAGCGCCATGAGAGGAAACGGGAACTCCCCACAGTGGGGCATGCAGGAGCACTGCGGGGTTCTTGCCACTTGGAATGGGCCCATTTGGCTTTTGGGGCAATTTCAAAGTGACACTGTGAGTCTGATGCGTCCTCTATTCTTTGGCTTAGAAAGACCATAGGCCAGCGCTTTAGGGAAGGGCTATTTCTCATCAATAGCAACTCAGTGAGAAAAAAAAGGGAAAAAATGCTGTGAATAATTCCCTTTAAGAGAAGAAGTTGGCTCCAAAGGAGATGTGGTTACAGGTTGGCAAAGTGGGGGGAGCATTCTGCTGTACATGGCACAAACACAAGGAGGAGCGACTCACCCAAGGGCACAGGTGAGGTTTCCAAGGCCAGAAAACATTTCAAGAGCTTCAAATAGCTTCCCAGAACACTTCAAAATGCTTACCATGATCAGATACAAAGGCAACAATTGTGTTGTTAGAGAGCTGAAGTTCATCCAAAGCACTTAACAGGTAACCGACTTGTGAATCCAAGTAAGAAATGGACGCAAAATAACTCTGACGGATTTTCCGCTGCAAATTTGAAAAAAAGTGAAAATCCCTCATTTCAGACTTCACTTATATCCCACTCCCCAATTTGGGCTCTTTATTTTTCTCTGCTAAAATACAGTAGAAGTTTCCCTGCCCCCTTATTATCCTTCTACCTTGAATTTACTGACAAAACACAAGCCATTCACCATAAGCTCCCCCTTCATCTCACCCACCTCTATCAGCCAGCACTCCCAACTCTCTGTCTCGAGTCTCTCACAGAGAGGCGGCCCTTCTGCCCACCCTATCCTGCCTTTTCTAGCACACTTTTACTTCGATCAACGCCCCCTCCTAATGTTTAATCTCTCCATATTTTCTGCTTCTTTCCATGCCACCTCCCAACATGGCAAAGTCTGTCTCATCCTGGAAAAATCATGATTATGCTACCACACCTTCAAGCTATTGTCCCTTATCTCTCTCAACCCAACTCTTAGGAAAAACCATCCACACTTCTTGCCCCTACTTCTCCCTTCAATCTCTTCTAAGCCTTTTGCAATCCGCTTCCGACTTCATCACTCAATTGAAAAATGCTCTCTCCAAAGCTACTAGTCATCATTCAATTGTCAAATCTGAATGGCTTTTTCTCAGCCCTCATCCTTCTTTGATTCTGTGCAACACTCGACACAAGTGTTGACCACTGTCCCCTTCTGGATACTCTCTTGGTTCACTTTTGACTGTCTGACCATTCCTTCTCATTGTCCTTTCCTCTCCGCCCCCAACTGTGGGAGTTCCTGAAGACTTTGACCTGGGCCCTCTGTTCCCTCTTTATACTCTCTCACTTGGTGACCTCGTCAGCTCACAGAGTTTTAATTATCATCTCGATGCATATGATTTCCATGCCTATATATCCAGTCCCAGCTTCTCTCCTGAGTTCCAACTGCCTATTGGACATTTTGAGGTGGTTTTTCCATACACATCTCAAATTCACACGTGCAAAAGAAATCTCAGTCCCTTCCTCCCTACTCAGATAAACTTCCTCATTTCCGTGGAGAGTACCGAGATCCTTCTAGTCACCTAGTTTCATGAGCTCAGCATTTACGCTGGACTCCTTACTCTTGCTAGCCCCAGCATATCCAGTCAGCTGCCAAAGACTGTCGTTTCTACCTTCACAATATCATTTGCATTTGTCCTTCCTTTACTCCTCGCGGACACCAGCCTGATTCAGGCGCTTATCACCTCCAGCCTGGATTTACAAGAGCTTCCTCATTTGTTTCCTTGCCTCCAGACTCACCCCATTCTATTCCATCCTCCATAGAGCTGCCAAAGTGACTTCCCCTAAGTATATATCTGACCATGTTAATTCCCTTGCTCAGACACTCCAATGGTTCCTTCCCTATTGCCTCTAGAATAAAATAGAAGCTTTCCTGTTTGGCTTTTAAAGTCCTGTACAACCTGGTAGTAACCTACCTTTCCAACATCATTATTTATTACATTACTCCCCTTCACACATGATACAGTCTAGCCAAACTGGACTCTTTCCTATTCATCACCCAGGACATCACACACTCCATTTCCCATCTCCCTGCCTTTGGACATCCCCAGCCATGCCCCCAATGCTCTCCCTTCTCACCACTGCCTCCTAGAAGCCCTTCTTTGGATTTTTTCACAATTCAGTTCAAGCACCAACCTCCTCATCCCCTTCCCAACTGCTAGTGCCCCCCAAATATATTGGATGTATCTTGTATATGCTCTAATATATGTGTATTTCTCTTGTATATGCTCATATACGTGCACATTTTGCCCATATATTTCTTCCCTCTCCCACCCCCATGCCCAACAGCAGGGATTGCCTTCTTTGGTCTCTGTTCAGTGCAAATGTGCCAAAGGAGGCTCTTAGTATGTGCATGTTGGTGGTTTCCCCTGTAGCCGTGGATAAATTTAGCTGTCTAAACAAGATTCCTGTTTACCTTTAATTCTTTAAAGTCACTTTGATCCCGTAGATTTGCTCCTTACTGCTGCTATCTGGCAAGCTTGTGTATTCTTCCAGCTCCCAGAAGCCGGCCAAACAAATAAGACTTTTGGTGGAGTGAAAAACAACTCAGGAAGAGTTAGGGGAACTGACTGTAGCTCTGGTTCCACCCTAATTAGCTGTCAGCTGAACCAAGGTACTTCCTTTCTGGAGGCTCACCTCCTCCTCTGCAAACTGATGGTCCGAGGACCTCTAAGGCCCCTCCAGCTCTAAGGTTTATTATCTGGCTTGGGACCTAGAAATACTGACAAAGGAACTGAAGGTCATCCCCAGAGGGCAGAGCACACTGTAATAAATGAGACAAAGCTGAGGAGGAGTGCTGAGCACAACTGAGAGGGCCTTTGGGCCATTCTGAGGAGGAAAAAAGGGAGGATGATCACAAGGAAGGCAGGACCCACTGCTCCACGGGGATGGACTACCATCTTGGACAATGGAGAGAAGGGATACACAAGTCTCATGATGCCAAGGAGAATGATATCTAGACTGAAAAGGACTGAACAAAAATAGTTAATAGGGAGCTCAAACCTAAGTGGACATAGGAGAATAACATCAAATAAGGCTTCAGTCTCCCATACTCTCTCCCCAAGCTCAGTGAAAAAGCGCTAAGGAAGGCGACTCCACACCCCAGGAGGAGAGGAGGATGGAAAGTCTAAAGCCAGACAGCCTACCAGCTCCCTTACACAAAACCACAAGCTGCCCTGGCCAGTGCAAACGCACCCAACCCTGACCTCTAGCCCCCAGGGCAGAGTCAGTCCTTGGAGCTAAGAGGGTCCAGCTCCAAGCTATTCCACAGATTCTTTTCCTCATTCTGATAGCATAAATAAATATAATGAGCATATTGTTTTGAAGCAACACTATTATAAGGAGATTGGATTAAGAATAGGGGCAGAGGGAGGACTTTATAACCTGCCTCGTGACCTGTTTCTGTTATTGCCAATATTTTGTCCAGAATAAACTAGGCGGGAGGGTGAGATTTTTCAGGAAGCAAAAGGGACCACCCTTCTGGTGGCTCTGGACAAGCACCATGGCCCGATGGGTAGAGATGAGTCATGAAGGGACAGAGAGGACCCCACCTGTGCCCACTGTGACAAGTCAATACAGGGCAGGGAGTACCAAGAGCTGCCATGAGACCAAAGCTTTTGTGGGGAGGGGAGGCAGGTCACTCCAGACAAATCACTAGGCCAGTTCCCTGGCACAATACTCCCTATGTCGTGACTCCTGAGCTAAAATTGGCCTACCAGTGTGGATCTGGACTTCTATAACTGGTTTTGCCATTTGTCTCAGGCCTTTGGATTTCTGAAGACACCCTACTACCAACCTGGCCTATATTTTTGCTTGTTTCTGCTTGTTCATTTCCCCTGTTCCAGTGGCCAGCACACACATGATAGTACCATTGGGTTCACAAACGGGCGAGCCTGCAGTGAGGATATCTGGCTCGGCAACAATGGAAGAGCAACCTGCCAAATCTCTCATGATACTGGAAATCCCACGTACAGGCACACTGAGCAAGCAGATGTGGGGCATTTCAGGCAGCAGCATCATCTTCCTTAAGACGAGTCTTTGGAAGTAGAAACAAAATAGGGTACCTATAGCTTAGGGAATGGCTCAAATCATAGGCTGCTAGAGAATCAATCACCAGCTTTTAGATTTGGAAGGGATCTCAGTGACCACTTGGTATAACTCATACCCAAAAAAGAATGCCAGCCATAGGCACCTGCCACATGATCGTCTGATTTCAGTCTCCTCCTCACATGGCCCATTAGTCTTCTTTTTTTTTTCCCTTTTTTTGGTAAGGCAATTGGGGTTAAGTGACTTGCCCAGGGTCACACAGCTAGTAATTGTCAAGTATCTGGTCTGAGGATTCGAACTCAGGCCCTCCTGACGCCAGGCCTGGTGCTCTATCCACTGCAGCGCCACCTAGCTGTCCTCCATCAGCTTTCTTGATGGCTCTCATTGTTAGGAAGGCTTTCCTGACATCAAGTCTCAATTTGTCACTGTGCAACTCTAACCCAGCACTCCTGGCTCTGCCCTCTGGGGCCAAATGACGCAAGTTTCCACCTCCTCCACGTAACAACACAACTTGGAAATAGCTAGTGAGTCCTTCAGTCTTTTCTTCTCCAGGCTAAAAACATTCCTAGTTCCTTCAGCTGATGCCCATACAACATGGACCTAGGGCCCTGCACTGTCCTGGTAACCCTCTTCCCAGTGTGCGCTGGCACCCCAGTGACTACTGTGAACCTTTTCATCCCTCCTCCAGCCTAGCATGGCATACCCTCCTCTGCCTGCTCAGCTCACACTTCACTGAAAAAATTCAGGCCACTGTTCAAGAGAGCTCCCTCTTCTCCCCTCATCGAACATCACTTCAACATCTTCCCCCCATTGCCTCATTCTCCCCTGATTCATGAATGCCCTTCTCCTCGCCAAGGCAAACCTTTCTACATACATCTTTGATCTCAACTGCCTCCTCTATCTTTCCCACTCTGTCCCTCCTCTTCCACCACCTCCAATCTCCTGGCTCCTTCTCTGCTGCCTATCAACACGCCCATGTCTCTCCCTTCCTTGATCCCATCATCCCCTCGAGCTGTCATCCTATAGCTCTTCTCTTCTCGGCTAAACTCCCTGAGAAAGCCAACTATAGCTGGTCCCTAACTCACCAATGTTTTTCTATTCCCCAACTATAGCCACCAGAATTGAGCACAAAACCACTCCAGAGATGGGGTGACCGAGGCAGAGTATAGCAGCAGTACTACCCGCTTAGCCCTGCAACTGTATCTCTCTTAATGGAGCTCAGAATCACACCAACTTTGGGGGCTGCCCCATCACACTACTGACTCATACTGAGCTTGCTGGGCAGTGAAACATCCGGATCTTTTTCAGACAAATCGTCTCTCACATATTTTGTACTTGTGCGGCTCATTTTTTTTTTTTTTTTGGTGAGGCAATTGGGGTTAAGTGACTTGCCCAGAATCACACAGCTAGTAAGTGTTATGTGTCTGAGGTCAGATTTGAACTCAGGTCCTCCCAACTCCAGGGCTGGTACTCTATCCACTGCACCACCTAGCTGCCCCTTATAGCTCATTTTTTTAAATCCACAAGCAAGACTTAACAATGGTCCCTATTAAATAATGCCACCTCATTAAATTCAGCCCAGTGCTCAAGCCTGGCAAAGATCTTTTTGACTCCTGACTTGCTTAGCCAGCGTATTAGCTGTCCTTCCTGGCACTGTGTTGCCTGCGCACTGCAAAATCATGCCACTACACCTCGATCCAAATCATCAATGAAAATGCTTAACAGTACAGATCCCTGGAGGCATTCCCCTGGAGAGCTCCTACCAAATTAACAGTGAGCCATTCAATGACTTCAGAAGCCATTGAATTATATTATTGCATCCACATGTCCTCGATTTTTTCACAAGAATTGTATGAGGCACTTTATTGGTATGAATGTCACTTGATACGTGAATATAATAGAAAATCATGGTGCTATAAGAAATGAAGAATATGAGGAACTCAGAGAAACGCTGTAAGACCTGTATGAACAGAGTGACATAAGCAGAACTAATTTTTTTTTAAAAGCAACACTAAAAGGCAGTCAAACTCTGAGTAACTAATGACCAATTTGGGGCCTGAAGAACTGATAATAAAACATACACCAGCCTCCTTTCAAGGAGGGGGAGGTGACAGCAGTTTAAGTGTACTATTTGAGCACTACATGGGATATAATACCAGGCCCGGAGTCAGGATAACCTGAGTTTAAATCCAGCCTCAGATACATCCTAGTTGTGTGACCCTGGACAAGTCACTTAACTCCTATCTGCCTCAGTTTCCTCCTCTATAAAATGGTGATCAAAATAGCAACTACCTCCCAGGGTTGTTATAAGAATAAAATGAGATAATAATTGCAAAGTGCTTTGCAAACCTTAAAGCACTATATAAATACCAGTAGTTAATATTATTATTATTATTATTACTTATTGTCAGTCACAATTATTGTGACTGGTTTTGCTTACACATTTTCCTTTGTCACGATGAAGGGTTCCACGGGGGGAGTTGGTAGGAAAGAAAAGACTGTGCAATAAAAAACAAGTAATAAAAAAAAACAACCAAACACATTTTAAAGTCTTTGGTACCTGAAACTCTGTAGGAATTGGGCCATAGGGAACACTGATGTTTAAGGCCTGGACGTCTTCCCTCTCCCTGATATCCATCCAGGGGTTATATGCCACAGGAGGTAGTCCAGCAGGAATCTGAGGATCAGGAGCCAAAGTAATATTTTCCAAGGGATACAGCTTCTGAAATTCCTTGGGGCAAAGATAATCACACAGGGTTGTCATGTTTTCTCTCTGCTTTTTTTCTTTTCAAACAGCCCCATATCTAACCCTTTTGGTTTTGCTAACACTTTAATCAGAGAACTTGGTCCTGAGGCTAGGCCCTCAAATCCCCAAATCATACCAGTAGTACTTTCATCATGCAGGCTTTCAAATACCAATGGACAAATTAAACAGTGACCATTTTTTATATCCATCCCAGACTGGGAAAATGCAGAAAGGGCCTTCCAAAGTCAGGGCTCTTCAGAAAAACACAAACCCCACATAAGCACTGTCTCACATCTCACTGTGCAAAAAAGAGAGCTAAAAAGGAGAAGGTGAGAGGCAGTAGGGAAGGAATAACAATATAGTCAAGAAAACTTCTTGCTATGGAGGCAAAAACTCTTGGACCAGTGAAAACAACACAATTTTAGAGAACTGTAAGACCATGCTTTCTGATCACACCTTTCCAAATAAGAAATGCTCTCCAAAAAGTTGAAAATGATAGAGTATTCAGTCACCCGGAAAGAATGGGGATAGGGGAAATGTCATGTTTTGGAATGAGTACACTTTGGCACAATATACTATTATTTTAAAAAAAATAGACGCTATGACGTTTGTCCAAGGTTCCAATACTTCCTTTAGCTCAAGTTATCTGGGCTGCCAAGGTCAGAGAAATACTTCAACTGTTGAGAATAGTCTAGTTTCCTTAGAACTGCTTCCCAAGGCCCATCATTTATCTCTTGTGTCTCGCCTTTGCTTCTGGCACCCTTCTCTAAGGCTCTCTCACTGTCAAAATCCAACATTTTTTTCACTAAGCACAAAGAAAGAAAATAAAATCCTTCAGGGAAAGAAAAGAAAATGAACTGATTCTGAGAGGTTTCTTCGACTCTGCAATCTGTTTTTTGGATTTGGCCTCTCAGCTATCTCTTCTAATATTTACCAGCTTAGTAAATATTGAACAGACTTGCCACGGAAGAAATCAGTATGTGTTTTCTACAGACAATGTGTTCCTTTTGCTTCTTTTTTATCTAAAATTAATTGTGACACCAGCAAATAAGTTACTCTCTTCTTCCCCAGACCAAGTTCCAATCTACCCTAACCCCGTCTTTCTCTGTTACTTGCCTTCTAGCCAAACATGATTGTTTTACAAAAAGTAATTCAAGAAATTCATTGAGAGACGTCCAAGCCATCATTTTGGAAGAAACAGAAAAAGCCCAAAACTTATGAGGTGAGGTACAATTTTCATCCACTTCTTTACCTTGGGGTATCTGAATGGGATGTGAGGTTTATGATAGCCAACAGCCAGAAAGAAAAGACTATTGGTTTTTCTGATCTTTTCCAGTAATCGGATGGCTTCTTCTGTGCTTTGTTTATCAGGCAAGGTTCCTTCAGGCACATCAGCAACATCCACAGGGCAAATCAAGTTGGCATGCAGTTCTTCATCCTGACCTTTACATGTCTTTCAGAACAAAATATTTAGATTTTTTTTAACATCAGGTGATAGATTTAAAAATCACTAAGGTTTACAGAATCATATGAGATAATGTATGTCCAGGACTTTACAAACCTAAAAGCACTTTATAAATGTCACCGATTATTATTACTACTCTTAAAGAACATTGTGCCAGCAAATCACTGCGTTCAAGTAATGGGATTTGCTAAGCAAACGAGAAATCAAATTCCAATGAGGAATTATTTCTTTCACTTCCAGGTACTCCAAATTGTAAAGATTCTGCACAGCTAGGCCCCCAGTATAAAACCCAGTTGGTGCCACAGCAAGCTAAAAAAGCTTCAGGTTTGCCTCCTGGGATGAGCTACGTATCTGCTGTCTAAGGATCACACTAGCTAAGCCGGGAGAGGCCCATAACTAGTTTGGATACCAGGTAAGGAATGTGTCAGCCATAGCAAGTTCCTGAGGTGCTCTCCTGAATCAGCAAAGGGAGGACCCACACTAACAAAATCAAATGCCCTTGAACAAGGTGCTGATTTTCTAAAGCTTCTGCTGCTCATCTTCTTGAGGATGAAAGGAAGCCAGAGCAAAGTGCAACTGGACAATCTGTGCACATGGCAAAAATGGTGACTCAAGGATTACAACATAAGAAGCCACAAGGACAGAGTTACCAGGATCGGTCACATTCCCCTTTCATGGGACGTCTGGATTTTCAACCAAGTATGAGGGAATACCTCCTGTTTTCATTTACCAGACTGTTTTACCAAGTACTGCTGCCTCCCCCTGCAGGCCAAATCAGTCACAAGGCAGAAGCTCATTTTCCAATGCCAGCTCTCATCTCTCCTCACTCCATCTGTCCTCCCCTCGGCTGCCAAAGTGATTTTCTTAAAGCCCAGATCAGACTATACCCTACTGTGCCATACTCAGGAAACTCCAGTGGCTCCCTATCACCTCCAGGATCAAATAGCAAATGCTTTGTTTGACATTTAAAGCCCTTCCTTCAGAACCTGCCCCTTGCCCACGTTTCAAATCTACAAACTCTATGGTCCAGTGAAACTGGTCTCTCTGCTCTTCCTCACACTCCATTTATTGATTCCAGGTCTTTTCTCTGGCTGTCCTCTATGCCTGGAATGCTCTCTCTCCTCACCTCTGCCTGCTGACATCCCTGGCTTCCTTCAAGACTTATCTCCAACCTCACTTTCTACAGGAAGCTTCCCTTCCCCTCCCCCTAGTTCCTTCCTGCGGAGATGACCTCCCATTTATATCGTATATATCTTGTAGTACATCATTATTTGCATGTAGTCTGCCTCCAGTTGAAGCTCTCTGAGGGCAGGGACAATGTTTTTGCCTTTTTTGTGTGTCATCAGTGCTGAGCACAGTGCCTGGCACACCGTAAAGGCTTAATAATGCTTGTTGACTGACACAGACTACTTTTCTCCTGAATACAAGAAGTCAGTTTCACAATCTTGCTGCATCAACAGTAATGTTCAGTGTGTACACACCCTATGTCAGTCACACTGATGAGGCCACTGCTTCTACAAAACTCTTTGTTTTCTTGTCTCCAGACCCAGTGTCTTTAGGTAAGGCCTAGAAGGCAGTGAGATACTAATGAAACCCTCCAAAAAAGGAAGTAGGATGGCATTACTATGTCACACTTCAGGGGAAAAGGGAAAGGGGAAAGGGAAGGGGGAAGGGGAAAGGGGAAGGGAAAAAAAAGCCATTATCCTTCAAAACTTTTCTGGGCAAAGTTGTTTTTCCCAGAACTCCATTTGATTTTCTAATTTAACTTCTAATTATGATCACTCAGGTTTGGCCCTTAGTATAGATCTCTTGTTTCTCCAAACTAAAAAAAGTTGACTTCAACCCCTTACTTTTCTCCCATTGCGCTAGAGCTACAAGTGACCTTAATGATGAACTCCCTTATGTTAACTAAGGGGAAAAAGACCCATTGAAGAGCTCTATTTCTTCACATACCGGCTGTTTTCCATATCCAGCTCTCTAAATGTGTGTAAACTATCTGGCAACAGGACTTTTTAATATGTTAAGATATGTTAACATATCAATATAACAACACTTCAATATGTTAAGATAAAGACCTTCCTATTTACCTCTCACAACAATTATAAACTGCTGATTATAAACAAATCTAGTGATTTGTAAAGACATCATCTTCTCCTTTGGGTTGTCAGTCAGTACCTTGAGGCCAAGGACTATGGTTTATTCATTTCCATAACCATCACAGTTCCACTCACAGGATTTTACTGTAGACTAGACTGTCATGCAAAGATTTTACAGCGTTTCTAGCATCCTTTAGAATATAGCTGCCTTTGGGTCTGATCTGATGGCCAGTCAGTCAACAAGCATTTATTAAGTACCTACTATGTGTCAGGTACTGTGCTAAGTGCTGGAGATACAAAGAAAGGCAAAAGACAGCTCACAGTCTCATGGGGGAGACAGAATGCAAACAAGATATATAGATATATATGAGATAAATAGGAAATAATCAGTAGAGGGAAGATAGTAGAATTACGAGGGAGTGGCAAAGGCTTCCTGTAGAAGGTGGGATTTTAGCTGGGATTCATAGGAAGCCAGGAACACAAAGAGGTGGAGATGAGGAGGGAGAACATTACAGACAAGTGAGAATGAAAATGCCCAGAGCCGAGAAATGAAGTGTCTTATTCAAGAAATAACAAGGAGGTGGGGGGAGGGGAATGCTAGGATAGGCTAGGTTAAAAAGGGCTTTAAACCCCAAAAAGATTTTATATTTGATCCTGGACGTGACAGTGAACTACTAGAGTGTTTTTTTTGGGGGGGGGGGGGGGGTTTGGATGTGGTTGGACCCGCACTTTAAAAAAAGCTAAAAAAAAAAAAAGGCTAGGGAGGTACTATGTTTTTGCTTTCAAAGCAAAGCTGCCTACATATAGAATTATACATACATATATATATATGTATATATGTATGTGGATAAGTATACACATACATTTACATAAAATCAGCATTTAGTTGTATCATAAACTTTAAAAGATGTATAAAATAAAATGTACATTGGACTTAGCCCAAGCACTCTGTTTCTACACAAGAAGAAAAGCCAGTACTCTTCAAAATGTTGACTTGTGGACATCTTTACCTTGCTATTTTCATACTGTTCAGAGGACGGATGAAAAGGTGGAACTGACCAGCTGTATGGAAAATCATCGCTGTGGTTAGAAGAAATTCCTTGAAGAAAAATTTTAAAAAATGTTAAACAGAATTCTACCAAGGTCCAGAAAAATAAGACTTTGTACACAAATGGAAAAGCCCTTCCTTCTCCTCTCTGGGTCTATTTCCTCATTTTTAAGAATGACAGTGGGGCAGGGTAGAGACTAGACCAGATGATCTCTAATGTCCCTTTCCAGTTCTAAATTCTATAAAGAGATTCACTTCCTCATACCTACATCCAAATCAACTGAGCTTTTGTTAAGCACCTATTGGGTGCTCAGCCCTATGAAAACACTATACGGGATTTAAAAAAAAAAAGTAGAAAAAAGTCCCTAAGCTCAAATAATTTACAATCTAGTTGCAGAGACTTGATAAATGTGCTGACAATAAACTAGTAAACAATGCAGAAGAGACTCTGCACAAATGAAAGGAATTATCAGTGCAGACTGAGGTTAGTCATGTCTTCCTGGAGCAAGCAGACCATAAGCCATATTTAAAGGAAACAGCTAGGGCCCGCCAAAGAACAAATAGGAGGGCATCTGAAAACAAGAGAGCATAGTAGATGCTCCTAAACAAAGAGCCATAAAAAAAAAAACCAAAACACAAATCACAGTGCTGAATAGTGCAAACTCAAGGATTCAATAAGACAACAAGAAATATTAGAACAAAGTCAAAAGACTGAAAAATTAAAATAATGTGAGGTATCTATTATAAAAAAACAACTAACTTGGGAAACAGGTCAAGGAGAGATCATTTAAACATCCTCCGATGCCCTTCAAACCATGATCAAACAGAAAACCTGTATGTCTTTCAAGAAATCACAAAAACTGCTCACATTTATTAGAACCAGAGGACAAAGTGAAAATAGAAAGAATCCTACTTGTCACTTTCTCAAAGAAACATCAGATTGAAACCTCTAGAAATGGCAGAACAAAATCTAGACTTTCCATGTCAAATGAAAAATATTGCTAGCAGCCAGAAAGAATTCAAGGGCCAAGGAACCACAGTCAGAATCACATGACTACATGACAACTACATTTAAAAAGGAAATCTTGGAATACAATATACCAAAAGGCAAAAGAAAAAAACTTACAATTGAAAATAATTGTTTGCTGCCAAACTATGAATAATCCAAGAGAAAAAAATGGATCTTGAAAGCAAGGGAAAACTTTCAAGCATCCCCAAAGAAAAAACCAATAGAGCTGGGTATAATCTATAAAATGCAAACACAAGAGATAAGAGAAGCCTAGAAAGATAAATACACTTGAACAACAGGAAGGTGTTAAATGAAGAACAAGTGCTTACATTCTAATAATGGTAGAAAGGTCAATAGTCCTGTCAGAATCCCACTCCCTTCAAGGCTCACAGAAGGAATAAAGACAAATGTAGGGCTGGTTTGAAGGGAGAAAACAAAAGAGAGGAGAAAAGAAATACACTAGTGAGGAAATAAGGAAGAGGGAGGAACTATTTTTCACAACTGGGGTGTGCCAAGAGTTTACATCCAGAGAGGTGAGGGAAATGGAACTCACAAGAACCAGGTAAGCAAAGCTTGAAAAAACACAACACACCCGTTTTGTACAGAAATACATGAAGTTCAAATGGGAAATAGATGAGTACAGGAAAAAAAAAAGAGAACTTCAAAGGGAGAGCAGCACTAGGGAAGGAAATATTCACAAGCAAAAAAAACTGGCAGTACACAGTAACATTACAAAAAGAATCATAAACCTTTGACTCCATCATTGGGAACATACCCTGAAAGTTATCAAAAACAAAGAAAGCTACCCATTCAAAGACAATATTCAATAGCAACAAAAACCTGGAAGGAATCAAAATATTAAAAAATAGGGGAATGGTTAAATTACGGCTCACTGATGTTACAGACTCTTGAAACGTAATTAGGTAAAATAAGCATGACGAATATAAATACATTTTTATCACAAATCACCCCAAAAATAATGCAAAGCAAAAAAAAAGTAAGAACAGTATAAGAGAAAATGACTGAAAAACTTACATTTTATGCACTGAAATCAATTGATGTAAAAGTGTAAGTTTAATTAGCTATATTGATAATGTTACAGTTAAAAGCAGTTTTTAAAGAGTACACTAAAAAAATTTTCAAAAAGGGGGGGGCAGCTAGATGGCACAGTAGATAAGAGTTCCGGCCTTGGAGTCAGGAGGACCTGAGTTCAAATCCAGCCTCAGACATGTGACATTCACTAGCTGTGTGACCCTGGGCAAGTCACTTAACCCCCATTGCCTAGCAAAAAGAAAAAAAAAATTCAAGAGTACACTATGCTATGCTCCAGATTTCCCACTTGGTGGCTAAGCAGCTCTAAAGTTTCAATTTCCCCTTTTGTGGAAAAAGTATTCCAAATCAGTGCTAATACCAGCATCACATCCAACTCTACACATCTACATCAAATTCTGTTTCTAAACAAAGCGCAAAGGGAAGAGGCAGAGCCCCTTTACCGTCATAAAAACAGAATGGGCAAAGATTCAGTAAGTAGGATAGAAAGAATCAAGTCAAGGCTGACACCCACTTGTCGAGAATGCTGCTCATAGAGTGTATTCTTTTTCATAAACAGATAGGACATTATACTGTGTCTGAGATCCCTTTTCTAAGATACCAAGAACTCCTCGTATTTAATAAGGTATTCCCTCAGAACCTCAAAATCCACATTACACCAGTTACCATTCAGTCAAATCAGCTATGTCCAATTCTTCGTGACCCCATTTGGGATTTTCTTGGCGAAGATACTCGAAAGGTTTGCCGTTTCCTGCTCCAGCTCATTTTACAGATAAGGAAACTGAGGCAAACAGCATGAAGTGATTTGCTCAGGGTCACACAGCTAGTAAATGTCCAAGGCCGGATTTGAACTCAGGAAGATGAGTCTTCCTGACTCTAGGCCAGTGCTCTATCCACTGCAGTGCCATCTAGCTGCCCCACATTACACCAGAGTCAAAGGCAATTCCATAAATAATTCAATTACATAAAATTTAGAGCCAGGATGAGGCAATTATCAAGCATATAGCAGCAGCCCCTTCATAAATATAGTGCTTCCTTAATGCTAAGAGACCAAAACTAACTCACCCAAAGCCTCCACAGGCTTTGACGTTGCATAAAACCATCCAATAACTGGAAGGATCTTTAGTGATCACGTAGGCCAATTTTTCTGAAACTGCATTCTGCCGAGCCCTGTCATTCCACATGGTATGGTTAAGGGTTCCTTGAGAATTTTAGCACTATCAATATTTTTCCTCTAACCTGTGAAATACATATCCAAATATGTATGTCTCAACATTTTTTTATGTAGGACAATTTTTAGATATGAAGCTCAAATTTCTGTTCTGCTTCAAAATTTCCCAGGTACCCTCACCCCCTTTATACTGAGAATAGTCTCCATTCCCAGACCAGAATTTATGGGTTCCATCAATTCAAGCCCCCATATACTGCATTTCAATCAGCTTGGAAAACTCCAGTCTAAAAATTCTCATTTGCAGATGAGGAAACTGAGTCCAATAGAGGTGAAATGATGTCATATTGCTAGTGAGCAGCCAAGCTAGGACTAGAACCCAGGTTGCCTGACTCACTTGTATGATCTGTATTTAAAAGTGACTACCAAGAAATCACAACCAGTCCTTACGAAACCAGATGAGTTCTTGTGCAAAAGTAAGAATTTCTCACTGAAACACTTAGAAAGAAAAAAGGAAAAGCTTTGACTTCATGGGCATTGAAAACATACAGTACCAGGGTGAAACACTTTTCCAACTGACAAAGTCACGTAGCCATTCTCCTTGAAATACTGAGGGATTGTAGAATAGTTTCCCGAATGGACTCTCCAGTAGGAATTGAAGTCATACACTCTGGTAGTATCGGGTCTCCGACCAGTTAAGAAAGACACCCTACTCGGGGCACAGACGGCTTGCTGTTAAGAGGAAACAAAACGACATAAGAGCGTTGAAGAAGTAAATAATTTCCTGGGCCACTAGTGAAGCTTTGTCATGCAGTCTGCTAAGTTGAGATAAAAAGCATTTAGGTCATACAGAACTCTTACCTGCTCCGTCCCCAGAAATAAAAGTGTCTGGCCTAACTATACAAATGTTCTGAATTTAGTAACTCAAGCTAAAATACTATGAATCATCACTTGAGTCTAATATCAAAGGCAGCACTCTAACATGTCACACATCTATATGTGTGACACCTTAAGTGGCTTGGTTACTTCTCAATGTCATTAAATTATGTCACTGGCAAGAAATGACTTTTTACTAGTCAATCAAAAACTGGCTCCGTAATTTAACAGCACTGTAGGATCCTGCCTATTAGGTGAAACTAGCTAAGCTCCCCAAAGGCTCAGGAGCAAGTCAGCTGACTTACAGAGTGTCCAGCAACATTCATTCATTTCTTCATTCAATAAATATTTATTAAGTTCCTCTATGTGCCAGGCACTGTAACATCCCTTCTCTGTGAGAAGCCCTGCCTTCTTGCTCAGGCAGGGACTTCAGAGCAGGGCTTCTTAAACTGAGTCTCTGACTGAAGGGGTCAGAAGTGGAAAAAGTTTAAGAAGTCCTGCTTTAGAGAACCTTTTTCTAGTTCAGAAACCAAAGGTCATTAGGATGACTACAACAAGTTTTCAAATTAAGTCAGAGAGTAGTTCAAATGAGCACTTATTTAGAAGTGGGCAAAATTATTTGAGAGATATTGCAGTGTAAGAATGAATAGAAGGGGCAACTAGGTGGTGCAGTAGAGCACTGGCCCTGGAATCAGGAGGACCTAAGTTCAAATCTGGCCTCAGACACATAACACTCACTAGCTGTGTGACTCTGGGCAAGTCACTTAACCCCAATTGCCTCACCAAAAAAAAAAAAAAGGAACAGAAAGAAGGAAATAAGCATTTAATAAGCACCTACTATGTGCCAGGTACCCTGCTAAGCACTGTTTACAAATATTATCTTATTTGATCCTTACAACAACCCTGGGAGGTAGGTGCTACTATTGTCCCCATTTTACAGTTGAGGAAACTGAGGCAGCCAGCTGTTAAGAGACTTGTCCAGGGTCACCCAGCTAGTAAGTGTCTGAGGTCAGGTTTGAACTCAAGAATTTTCCTGACTCCAGGATCAGTGCTCTATCTACTGCACCACCTAGCTGCCTGACAGACAGATGGCCTCAGACCTGGACTGAAGAACCATTTAGGACACATAATCAGTTGTGTAACTACACAGATAATACTGCAAAACCAAGTTACAGAAGGATTGCCCCATCTTCAACTTAAGGTCCCTCCACCTATCCAACAACTCATATAGACCAAAACCAAGTGATTTAGCAGATTTACTTGGAGTCATGGATTTAGAGCAAGGAGAGACTTCAGCAGTCATCTTGTCCAACCTCCTTCCTTTAACAGATGTGGAAACTGAGTCCCAGAGAGATTAAGTAATTTGTCTAAGGTCTCAAGTAGTAGGTAGCAGAGTGGAGATTTGAATCCAGATCCTCTGACAACAAATTCAGGGCTCTTTCCACCAGACCCCACTCTCATTCCAGAACTGTAGGAGACAACTGGAATAATACCATAATGACATTTTCATGTTGTAACACACACATCCCTGCCATAGCAAATTTCCCCCCATGTAAATGGTCCCAGTTTCAGTTTCTTGAAAAAGATCATAAAGATCTGACTACCTTCAGAAGTGAGAGTTAATATTCTTTAGAAATTCCTTCAAACCCAATTGAACCAGTCACTTTTACATTTTATTTCAGCACCACTTTATAGTTTGAGCTTGGGGACTGAAATGATCACAAGTCTGCAGGGTGGCCAATTTATAGAAATCCACGAATGACTAACAGTTCTATTAACGTACTTGGGCAAAGGCGTTTTGGAACACCACACTACGAGAGGCCAGCTGATCAATGTTTGGAGATTTCACGAGAGCCTCTCCATAGCAGCCTAGGGCAGGCCGAAGGTCATCCACGATGATCAAGAGAACATTCAGGCCATCTAAGTGGAAGGAAGAAAGGATGACATCTATTATTTTCTCAGCCCTAACTTTTAACAAGTTTTATTCCCTGGAGGTCAGATTGAATGACCCAACAACAAAAGTCTTGAATCTCTCAAACTGTCTTTAATAAACTCTTAATCCCAAGGAGAGGAGGTGGGGAGGAAGCTAGCCTAGAGGGGCGGGGCATCAGGGCAGAAGGGAGAGGGGGAATGGAGGGGGAGGGGCAGGAGAGAGGTGCTGGGGCAGAGCCCAGAGATGTGGTGAAGAGGAAGGCAGCCCCTCCTGCTAACCGGGTGAGAAGAGGGCAAGGGAAAGGGGGAGAGAAGAGAGGAGGAGAGGAGAGGGACAGCCCAGACCGGGAGGGGGCGGAGCCTCGGGGCCCTGTTTCCTCGGTTCGGGTCCAAAGGCACCCGTCCCGTGGCGCACCTCCCTGCCCCCCGTCCCTCGGGGCCCGGGCTCGGCCGCAGCACCTTTCAACGAGCCGAGCCCGGCCGAATCCAGCGGATCCTCTGGTGCCGCGTACCCCGGGCCTTCCGTTGGAGGAGCGCTCAGCAGGGGACGCGCGAAGGCCAGCGAAACCGCGAGGCCCAGCCACGACAGGCCCGGGTTTCGCATCGTCATCTTTTTCTCGCCCTTGGTCCCGGCCTGGGTCTCCCCGCGTTACCCCCAAAAACGAACCTTTCTTTTTCAATCTCGAGGGGATACTCAAGAGGCGGTGCTGAACGCGCACCCTTTATAGTGAACTTGGTTGGCTCCGCCCACCCGGACTGCGCCTGCGCTTGCGCCCTGTGCCCTCCATGGCCACCGGGAAATGGGTCCGAACTGGAGCAGTTCAGAGTCCTGTCGGGTTGAAAAAAAGAAGGCGTGTCTTTCCTGATCTCCCGTACACCGGGTGGAAGAGGTTGGAGGGAGAAAAGGAGGCCTCCGGCTCTGCCCCCGAACCAACCGGGAGCCAGTGCAGGCAGGACCTGGGCGCCAGAACTCAGCAGCCAAAAGTGAGTGAGGCCCCGGCAGGCCGGCCGGCCAACCCGGGAGAAAGAGCGAACCAGCGCTTCCGTGATCCACTTTAGACTACACACACTCCAGGCATCCCACACACTGAGAAATAAATGCAGCTTGAGTTATTTTGAGGCAGCTAGGTGACACAGTGGATAGAGCACCGGCCCTGCAGTCAGGAGGACCCGAGTTCAAATGTGACCTCAGACACTTGACACTTAACTAGCTGTGTGACCCTGGGCAAGTCGCTTACTTATCCCCATTGCCTAGCCACAAAAAAAAAAAAGAAAGAAATGCAGCTTGGCTTGGGGAAAAGTGAGCAAAATAAATAAGCTAACACACGGGACGTATACCAGTTGCTGCTATCACAGTAAAATGGCTACAGGGAGATTTAATTTGGGCTTTGTGGTTTCCTTCAGTCGGCAGACTGGGAAATGCTCAAAGCTAAAAGGGACCTCAGAGCACATCTTGTTCTCTAGTGGCATTTCTCATCCCTTTTATCTGCACAGCTTCTCAAACTTTGCCTCAGGACCCCTTTACACTCTTTTTTAAGATATTAATTTATTAATTTTTTTGGGTTACATTTTAAGTTCCAAACTGTCTCCCTCCCTCCCCACCCACCCTGAACTAGAGAAGGCCACCATTTGACAGAGAGAGGTAAAACCACACTATGCATACTTATGTTTATCAGTTCTTTCTCTGGAGGGGGAATAGCATCTTCCTTGATAGGTCTTCTGTGGTTGATTTGGATATTTATAATACTCAGAATAGTTGGTTGGTTGTTCTTCATTTTGGAAGAGGACCAAAATGACATCACCATGCTAGAGTCAAGTTTTTTGTGTGTCCGACTGTGGCTGATCACACCAATATGAGCTCGGAATGCTCTACCATTGGCCAGGCATAAATGGTCCATGTGTAGATTCTCTAAGTCTGGGCATCTTTCTATTCTCTGGAGCTATTTCCATTCTGCTTTGCTCATAGAGTGCAGCACCTTCTCTGATGAGGACACACCTTGCTGAGTGGTCCTGTGCCATGGTCTCCCATGTCATGCAGTCAATTCCAAAGTTCTTAAGAGACACCTAGAGAGTGTCCTTGTATCCCTTCTTCTGACCACCATGTGGCCTGTGTGAGTTCTCCATAAAATAGTCTTTTTGGCAAGCAAGTGCAGCCCTTTGACTGAATCCAAACTTCACAGGATCCTTTTATTAAGGGATTTGTTCTGTGAAGTTTGGATTCAGTCAGAGGGCCATACTTGAGGACCTAGAGGGCCACATGCGGCCTCGAGGCCCCAGGTTCCCCACCCCTGACTTAGTCATTCACAGTTATTTTTCAAACAGTATTGCTGTTACTTTATTCAAGGCTCTCTTGGTTCTGCTCATTTCACTCTTCATTATTTCATGCAAATCTTTCCATGTTTTTCTAAAATCAACCTCATCATTTCTCACAGCACAGTAGTATTCTATCACAGTCATATACCCCCTTTATACTCTTAAAAATTATTAAAGACCCCATACCCCACAAAGAGCATTTCTTTCTGTGGGTTATAGGTATTTATATTTACCATGTTAGAAATTAAAATGTAGTATTCTTATGAAAATAGTTTTGAACTCTCCAGTTCCCCAAGAGGGCCTGGGAACCACACTTTGAGAACCACTGATCTATAGCATTCCTGACATTCAGCCTATACTACAGAGACAGAGCACTCAGCCTCCAGAGTGAATTCAGAGTTATCAAAGAAAATGAACTCAGGAAAAACAGTTCTGAGTGAGCCACTTTGCCCTCATTGATAAACAATGATTTGCATGTTTGTCTTTTAGCTAAAATCTCCCCTAAGAAATCCATCTGCGTTTTAAGTCATTCTGCATAATAAATCCATTTCTCTGTTTTCCAAGAAGCATCTGTGTAAGTTGTTGGATAAGGCCTGCCAAGATGCACTATTACCATTTGAAAGATGCTTAGCTCAAAAAACTCTTGGAAGGACCATGCACAGGAGACTTAGTAACATGTTTCCAATGGAGAAAGAATGAGGTCACAGGACAGAATAGAATTTAGAGTTGGAAGGAACATTGGAAACTCATCCTGTTCAGCCCCTCATTTCACAGATCAGGCTTAGACATTAAGTGACTTGCCTAAGGTCACATGTGATACTGAATAGAAGAGCAGAGATTAAAAACCCAAGGTTCCTGCCTCCAACTCTGGCTATTTCCACAGCACCTTTTGCTGACTTTACTTAGGAAGCTATGTGTTCAGGCAGGTGAATTTTTTAAAATAGAAAACTAGTGGTTTAGATAGGCAGTTGCCCAAAGGATATGGTCCAGACTCTTTGGCAGGACCTTGAGGATGGGGGGGAGGGGAGTGGGAGGAGGAGGAAGAACCTATTGGTTAGGCCTGTGTGGAGCAGGTTTCAGGTGAGAAAGGAAGGCAGTGTCCCTCCCTTCTGGGAGGTAGCATTCATTCTACACTTTATCTCATTCTGGCCTTTTTCCATACATGTCATATATACATATAAGGCTATCAGCCTTATTAGCCTATAGCTCCAATTAGAACTTTTCTTACCAATTCCTTTTCAAAGAGAACTTTGCCAGTTGGTCACTTGCACATATAGAAGTTGTAAATGGGGCAGCTAGGTGGCGCAGTGGATAGAGCACCAGCCCTGAAGTCTGGAGGACCTGAGTTCAAATCCAGCCTCAGACACATAACATTCACTAGCTGTGTGACTCTGGGCAAGTCACTTAACCCCATTGCCTAACCAAAAAAAAAAAAAGGAAGTTGCAATTAATGTTATTTACTAATCTCAGTTTAAGAGTTAATGGCTGACCTGAAATTCTAAAAGCAAATTGAACTTAATAAAAATAAATTTAATTTAATAAATAACTTTAATCATTTAATTAAGAGAATCAGTTCGGCATAGTGGAGAGATAGCTGGACTCAAAACCAGGAGGACCTGTGTTTAAGGCCTACCTCTAACACATACTGGCTGCGTGACCCTGGGCAGGTCATTTAACTTCTCAGTCAGTGCTCCAGGTAACTCTGGAAGACTTTTAAGTGACAGAGAAATTGCTTCACCTGCTGTGGTAGAGGGAGTTTCATCACTTGGGAGTTTCCTGTAGCAAAGAAATTATAGGTCCAATTCCTATCCCGAACTCTTCATTGCTTCCTTTGTGCCATACTTGGCCCTACAGGAGACACAGAGGCTGAACAAAATAGGGCCATGCCCTCACGAGCATACCCTGAGCTCACCCAGCTGAAAAGAATCTCTGGCTCCTCAAATTTGGATTTCTCTTTTGCTCTTCCTACATTCTCCCTGCTTATACTTATCCATGTATAATCTCCCTCTTCAACAGGGTGGAAGATCCTTAAGTGAGGGAGCTGTTTTAAATTTTTTGTCTCTATATCCTCAGCACCTATCACAGTGCCTGGAACAAAAGAATCATTTAATAACTTTATTGCATAAATGAATACACCTGTGTACATGTTGCTTCACCTCTATTAGATTGTAAGCACTTTGAGGGCAGGTATTATCATTTGGCATCTATGTATCCCCAGCACCTAGCACATAATAATTGCTTAATAAACTCTGGGTGAATTGAATTAAATTCCTAGGTTCTCCTTAGCATCTTCTCACTTCCTGGATTATGAAATCACTTTTATTTTATCTGAAAATGTTTGATCTATTTTAAATGATGCAACATCTGTTTTTACTGGGTGAGATGGAAGAAAGAGTCCAAGACTAGAGAGGTGTTTCTGCGCCCCCAACCCCACAAAACACTGTCAGTATAGATGAGAAATAAATACATCAGCACAGACCCAGGGGGCCATATTGTATTCCTGAAGTACAAGGCTGTAGCATCCCCACCACACCTAGTGAAATGTCTCCCCAAGTGTCCTGTGAATGAACTTCTCTCTCCATTCCCTTCCAGATTGCTGATTCTCTTTTTACACTTACAGATTCCAGTCAAGGTTAGGTCAAATCCGGGTTCTCAATGTGTAACATTAGTCCAGATGTTTAAGAAATGATGTCCAACTAGCACATAAGCCTTTTAATTACCACCATATGTTAGATCTTCCATCCTGAAGCAGCTCAAAACTGAGCTAGCCAATAATTGTGGGAACCAAATTTAAAAGACAATCTTATTAGTACTGAGAGTGTCATTGATGATTATTCATTAATACTTAAGCTTGAAATCTAGAGTCCAGCAAAGCCCTAAAGCAAAATGCTTACATTTTTCAAAGGCCCCAGACAATCCACAGGCTTGGGGACAGGGAAAAGCAATGTGGATTCAGGATATTGTCAAGCTCTGCCTTCATCCTGTTATTATATGTAGCTCAGACAGTCTGGGAGATTTGTTTGCTAGGGATTCACAGAGGAAGAAAGTAGGGCCCAACGGAGAAGAAACATCATACACACAGACAAAGCCCAACACATTAACAAGTCCAAAGGAACATTCCAATTTCCAGATTGACTGAGTAGATTTGGAAGGGTTTCTTAAAGGGACAATGCCATTATATTGAACTTTCTTGGAGGTTCCATCTCATCTACCTTCTTGCTGAATATGTGAATTTTCATCATTATCTTTTGTATTATCTTTGGATGATAAGGTAAAAGGTATAAATCAGGGCAACCTCTGTTAGTTATCCATACCTAATCTGGTTTTCCTTGTTACAAAGAATCTAGACCTGATTATAAGTCCTGTTCTCTGCCCTTCCCTAATATTCTAAGTCATTATTACTGGTTCATCAGGAC